CCCACCCCCCTCCCCTCTAGAACCCCCAGTTTGTTTCTCAGAGTCCATAGTCTCTCATGGTTCGTCTCCCCCTCCGATTTCAGGAATAGGGGACTATAAAATCAAATCTCATTTGTGTACTGTCCTCATAGGGGAGCCACAGCCACTAGTGGTTATTTAAATGTAAATTTAATAGAAATAATACAATTTAAAATTCAGTCTTTAGTTGCATTAGTTATATTTCAAGCACTCAGTAGTCACATGTGTTAGTGGACACTGTACTGGACAGTGCAGATCTATAGTATTTCTGTCACAATAGAAAGTTACAAGCAATGTTTTAGATAGATTCCAATTATGTTGCAATTTCAAAGTGGGTTTCCAAGCAGTTGCAAAAAACAAAACTAACAATCTGGGAAAGACCTTTGCTTTCTTTGACCTAAATTTTTATTGAGATAATTGCAGATTCACATGTAGTAGTAAAAAAGAAACAAAAACAAAACAACACAAAACAAACCAGAGATTCCTTATACTTTACCTCGTTTTCCTCTAGGGTAATATTTTGCAACATTATAGTACAATATCATAATGAGGATATTGACATCAAAACAATCCACCAATCATATTCAGATTTCCTCAGTTTTACTAGTACTTATTATTGTTTATATTGGGATTTATACAATTTTATCACATATAGGTCTGTCTGTCCACCACTACAGTCATCAGCGCAAGGACCCCCAGTGTTGCTTTTTTATAGCTGAACATATCTCTTTTGCCTCCCCACCCCCCCGCCCATTCCATTGCCTGGGAACCAGTAATCTGTTCCTCATTTTAAAAATTGTTTTAAAAATGTTACATAGTTGGAGTTGTGCAGTGTAACCTTTGTGGATTTTTTTTTTTCCCCACTCAAGTTATAACTAAGATCTTTGTTTTGGATTTTCCTCTTTTATCCAAGTGTATACTTGGTCTGTCATTTGCTGGCCTCTCTCCACACCACTCGCTACTTTCTTCTATAGCTGGGTGAGCCAATGTTATTAAATTCATTAAGAGAGCCATTCACAGATAGCATATGGTGTGCAGGAAATTTTGGGCATGGTGAGGGCCTGCTGTTTCAAAAGGCAAATTCTAAAAGGGCCATGAATTATATTTTCTGCCTGATTTGTTTATCCTTTTAGTACTGATCCCAACATAAGACTTGACAGGTCAATGAGGCAGGACACTCAAGAAAATACAATACATAAAATATCACAGGGAAATAAGAATTTAGCATATGATGAAAGTGGTATTAACAATTATGGAGATAAGAAGGAATTATTCCAAAAATGGTACTGAGGAAAGGGAGTGATAATTGCATAATGTCATCAGTTAATATCTAAAAAGAGAAAAAAGTGCTTTCTCACTTTTAAATTTACAGTTTTATAAATGCAACCATAAAACAAGTATAAAAAAATATAACTAAAATTTGTGGGAAAAGGACTTTGTAGGCATAAGAACAGCGAAGAATCACAAAGGAAAGGATAGATTTGAGTATGGGAAGTGTTTCGAAACTTTTTTTGAAAAGCATGCTAATTTAAAGCCAGTGAATTAAGCTCTATTTGGATGATTTTAAATTTTTTTCTCCTGTCAAATTTGGGTCTTGACCCTGGCTGTGTGTTTGTGAAGCCCCTATGACTTTCCATACTTAGCACCTTGTCTGACTTCTGAACAACTTGAGAAATGAAACAAAAGAGTAAAGATGGAGGCCCCAGATCTCTGTTAGTACTAGCTAGCTTGGAAGATATTGCTTAGTTGTGAGTTAACTCTGAGATCATCCTGGCTGCTAGATGGAGAAAGAAAGTTTATCACATCTTTTACCTTGTGGAATAAACTCACATCTTTACTATCCACTGGTTCAAAGCAGTCATTTTATTTGCCTGAGAGTACCCAGTTCTATGGTGTCTGTTAACACAAAAGATGTGGGAAAAACAGTACTGTTAAATGACAAGTTATTAAGCTCTCAGGGTCTTCCCTTGCCCATGATTATTTACACTTATAGAGCTCCACTTGGCACCGGCTTTTCTTCTTACACATTTTGCTTGTTTAGGATGTTCAATAAGCCTTCTTAAAAGGGTGGAGCATGGATTTTGATTCCCAGAATCAAATTGTGGCTGAGATGCTTAGTAGATAGGCAACTCCAAGCAATTTACTTAATTTTGTCAAAGATAAACAACCCTGGATACTGTTTAATGTGGTAAGGAGAGATTTTAATCAGTAATATACTACTGAAATAGGAAAGTGGGTCCAGCATGAACTGCACTCAAACTTGGATTTGTACAGAGGTGGCTGATAGTTTTAAAGGGAGAATGAGGGAGTAGGGAGGGGGAATGGAGGGGCTTGAGTAGAGTCGGGGAAATGAAAAATTATAAAGAGTGGGTCAGTGTAAATGTCATTAGGCCAGCTGTGTGGGTTACACAGAGACTGAGAGACAGAGGCCCTATCTTTTCTGATGATTATATTTCAAAGGAATGGCTTTCAAATCCTTGAGAAAGACACTACTGAGTTGTAGGAAATAGATATATACCTCAATTGGACAGAGGAAGGACTCACACATTATAAACCCTTTTTAGTAAATGCTCTAACAAAAGGTGGTGAAGGGCTTATTATCAGTTGTTGGCTAAAACAAATAGTAAATTCTTTTTGGCAGCCTTGAGTGTGTTACAGAGGGCTAGGGTCATCTTAGGGATGCAGCTTTGAGCTATCAGAAACTATGTTAGTGTTTGCTTTTTAAAAAATATAATTTTAATGTGTATGTGTGGGAGGGGGGATGAAATCAGTGTATTGAGTATGTAGATTTTATAGGCCAAGACTGAGGTCTAGTTCAGAGGAAGGCTCAGAAGAGCCTGGCTAGAGTTTGCTCAAGGAGAGACCCTTTGCCAATTCCCATCTAGAAAATGGGAGTATGCATTATTTTCCTCCCTCATAAAAGGAAAATACTTGTCTCTTCAGATCCTTTTCTTCCTGTCTTGAATTCATTTGTGTGAGAATGTGATGCTTGGAGCTGCAGCAACTCTGTCTTGACACGACGAAGAAACAAACTAACAGGTGAATAGCTAACTCCCTAAGAATGGCATTGTGGAAAATTAGACAGAGCCTTGATCCTTGATGACAGCCTTGAATCATAGGTCCAAATCTGGAACCAACTATTTCCAGTCCCCCCTTTTCTTTCTTTCCTTATTTTTTTTCAGAGAGAGAGTGTGCTCGAGTGGTGGGGGTGGGCAGAGGGAGAGGGAGAGAGAATCTTAAGCAGGCTCCATGCTCCGTGCAGAGCCCAATGTGGGGCTCAGTCTCACGACCTTGATGTCATGACCTGAGCTGAAATTAAGAGTCAGATGCTTAACTGACTGAGCCACCCAGCGGGCCCCTATCCCCCCTTTACTTTTCAATAAACTTAATTTTAGAATATATTTACTAAAAAGTTGCAAATATAGTAGAGAATTCCCTATTATTAACATCTTACTATTATTTGTCACAAGTAAAAAAGCAACATGGAACAGTAGTATTCACTAAGCTCCCTGCTTTATTTGGATTTTACTAGCTTTCCTCCTAATAGCTTTCCTCTATTCCAGGACGCCCTCCAGAATATCACATTACATATAACTGTCATGTCTCCTTAGTTTTTTTTTTTTCTTTTTTTGGTTTATGAGAGATTTTGAGTTTGCTTGTTTTTCATGAACTTTGACAGATTTTGTCAAAGTATATGATCGGGTGTTTTTGGGTTTGTCTGATATTTTTCTCAGTAAGAATTGGGGTTATGGGTTTTGGGGAGGAATACCACAGAGGTGAAGTACCCTTCTTACATCTGGGGAGCACGCTACCAACATGATTTATCACCATTAATCCTCATCACCTGACCAAGGCAGTATCTGCCAGTATTCTCCACTGCAGTTAATTTTCTTCCCTCTCCATACTGTACTCTTGGGAAGCAAGTCACTAAGCCTAGTGGGGAGTGGGTGGGCAGAAACTGAGCTCCATATCCAGAAAGGATTTGGAATTCTGTAAGGCTGGGACTGGGGTAGCTAAGCTCAAGCAAGTGCAGTGGGGCGAGGCCAGGCCCTGGCCAACCAAGGGAGGGGTGGGGCGGGGTGAGGCGGAGGGAAAGGTTGCCAGGTAGGGCCAGAGGCGGGCCCCGGGGCGTGGCGAGGGTCGAAGGACCGAGGTAGGAGGAGGGGAGCTGGCGGCTTTAAGGCCCGGACTGTGCCGGCTCCGCGCCCTAAGAGGCCCCTCCCCTCTTCTAGGGAGGCAAAGACTGCGCAGGCGGACGCTACGGGGCGCAGCTTCCCTGCCTGAGTGCCGCGGAGTTTATTTACCCCTGACCCCAGCTGGGTGGGGCGGCCGCGGCGCTTCCGGGAAACTAGGCGCAGGCGCAGGCGCACGCGGGGAGGCGGCGGCCACGGCACGCCGAGTCCTCTGCCCGGCGACTGAGGACTTGGGTTGGTGAAGACTCGAGGCGGGCGTGCGTGCGCGCGCTCGGCCTCTCCCACTGCTGCTTAGGCTCCCTCTTTAACTCGCGTTCATCTGGGGCGCTCTTTTTTCTGGGTTTCCTCGCGCGCTGGGCCCGCCGCCGCGCCGAGGTGAGCCGGAAGGACTTGAAGGGTGACGGAAGCTGGGGAACGCGGGGTGCCTGGGTCCCGGCGCGGGTAGCGCTGGAGCTTTCCGTATGTTTTCACTTTTTGGTGTGAAAAGAACAGCTCAGCTCGCAGACGCCCACCAGGCCTGGCGTTACGCTGCGCGCTGCAGTAACCCCCCGCCCCCCTCGCCCCGTCGTCTGGAGATCCTCCAGCGGATGTCGCCCCAGAAGCTGTGGTTGAGGTGCACTGGGGGATGTGCAGAAGCCTGCGGCCGGAGTTGCTCCCTCCAGGGCCCGAGGCTCAGCCTCAAGTGCGAGTCCGAGGCTGGGGGGTTAGCCGTGCTGTCACCGGGCGTCCGGGTGCTGGCGGGGCTCTGGGCACCGGAGGGGACGAGCCGCGGTTGGCTCTGGGACCCGGCTCGCAGCCTTTGTGTAGATCAGGGAGCCTTCCACTGCTGCAGTGGGATGTTAATAGTGCCTGGACTTCTTGTTACTCATTTCTGTCCGGTATTTATTAGTAGTAGATTTTAAAACCAGTTGTATGATTAACATGCGCATATATGCACATAGTAGTAGTCATGTTATGTCGTTTATGTGCTCATACATATATAAGTCACAGAATAGGAGGATACAAAAGTAATTGTAAAAGCCCCGTCCTCAGGCACGTTTTTGAATAGCCTTCCTTAAATTCGCTTGTTTTATGAACATACAGAATGTGTCAGAAGCAAATCCAAAAGGGATCATTAAATGTTCTGCAACTTTATTTTTCATTTAATATATCTTGAACATTCGGACACCTTAGCACATACCTTCTTCCTATTAATGGCTGCATAATACTCCATTGTCTGTATCACTCTGGTGTGGTTAATGGATTTCCTTTTTTATGCTTCCAAAGAAGTAGCATGTAGAAACTACAATAGTAATTTTGGATTTTACGATCATTTGTTTTGCCTGCTTTCTTGGCTCTCATTCCCTCACTAATCTGTTGCAACCCCCCATTTACTTATATTATTTCAGTATCCTGGTTTTAAGAACAAATCATTATTTCCTTCATATTAAAAGAGGGTCTTTTTTTTCTCTAAGACTTTCTAGCTGATGAGGGCTTCCTGGCTACCGTTTTTTCAAAGTATTTTAGGTTGGTGCTTAGTAAATGTTGATTAGAATTGAGCTGTGTAAGTCAGCAAAGCATACAGTTGTGAAATCGGTTATGAGGATTTCGATGATTAATCAGCATTTAGTAGGACCTCAAGATAAAACTATTTTAGAAGGACCGGTATAATGAGCATTGCCTTACTGCACAAGGAATCATGATTTAGCTCACAGTATAAATGTTTTCTGTACAAAAACACTTTAGAGAAATGGTTTACCAAATAATATGTTTGTGTATTTAAATCCTTGTAGGTATGAAGAACAGTGATTATTATACAATTGGAAAGAAAGGCAAAGAAAATGCTTTTTGTTCTGGATTGGGCAACTGAACAGAAACTGCAATTTTAGGATGAAGAAGGGAAGAGGAAGAACAAGCCGGATCAGAAGACGGAAACTCTTCAGAAGTTCTGTATCAAGAGGAGGTACAGCTTTGATCTTTTGTTGCCAGGGATGAAAAGAAGGAATCCTTTGTTGAGTGGTGTTAACAGATACACATAGTTTTTCTCAAAGGCACATGGGCAGTGTCCAGAGAGAATATTTCCTTTTTTTTTTTTTTTTAACTTTCTCTCAAGGTGCTCAAGGAGTATGAGTGTGCTTTGTTAATAATACTGATCAGTACTTGCTGTAAGCTCTTACATCAAATTTTTTCCCATCCAGGGAAAATTAATTCTGCCATTCAAGACTCATTTCTATTAGGATGCATGTTGAATAACTTATTTGGTAGTAGATAAAAGAGAAACTAATTCTGCTTATCTTCCACTATTTAACAATGCCATTTGAACATAATTTTGAAAGAATATATTCCATTTCAAGTTGTCTGGTTTAGGAAAATTGTTGAGAAAGTAATGCATGTTTTGGAATATGATAGACCTTCTAATTATCCAGATGCAATTATTTCAGCCTGTATCTCATTTGTAATCTCATCTAACTCTAGGTACATTAGGTTTCCTAACACCTCTTTCTTAAAGAATACTCTTTTTAATAGTGTCATTATGTTCTTTTAAACCCTTGTGGGACTGTGAATATATTTCCTATTGCTTCAACTATGTCTTCTCTAGGGATGACTCCCAGGTTTGTTTCTAGTCCTGACCTTCCTTCTGATCTCCAGCTGCCTGTAGAATATCAGTGTTTGGATATAGATTCATCACTTCAGATTCTGTGTAACGGAGTCTGAACAAGACATTGCATGTGGAAGTGCTTGGCCAACTGGAAAGTACTACGTAAATGCAGTTGTTATTTTTGATAAAAATTAATAAAACACCTCCGAGTTGACCCCAAGCCTGTCAGAAAAATTACTAAAACTCCTAGTTGACCCCAAGCCTGTCTGCACCATCTGGAGGAGTCTTTTTACTATTTCCTTCTTTGCTCTCTGTGGCCAATGTCCTACTAAATGTCGTCTAGTTTTTCTTAGGTTAGCTTTCCCCTCTGTTTACTATTGGAAGATGATTTCAGGCGACTCTTCGCTGGTTTACCTACACCTTGTTTTTCTTCCCTGCTTGTTATTTCATTTGTTGCTGTGAGTCTAACTCCTAAGGAACTACTCATATGTTGCCTTTTTCATGGATTTTCATTCCCTTTTGCATGATATCTGTGGGCTCCATCCTGCCACTCCTGTACCAGAAGTATGTTCTCTCCATGCCGCTCCCTGGGCACACCCCACACATGTCTACCTCTGCCATTCCTCATAATCCTTCAGTCTAGAACACCTGTTTTCCTTCTCTCTGCTTATTCAGTTTTTCTCCAACCTTTAAGACTGAGCTGAGATCTTATACTTTTGGTAATGTCACTTTCAGTTTTCACTAACACCACCCTTTGTTATGATGCTTATTGGGTGTTATTCTTAAGGAGCTATGGTTTCTTAGTTGTTTCTTATGGAAGTCTTATTTCCCAACTAAGTTGTCAACTTTTGAAGTTGAAGAACATGTTGGACATTCCCCACTGTGGTTAACATAGTGCTGTGTGTATAGGAGTTGCTCATTAAACGCTCACTGATTAAATGCTGTTACTGTAAAATCTTGTTCTCTGATTTATGGTGGCATATTTTGGAAGGCTTATATCTTGGATCTTGGTTTTTTTAAATCATGTTTTTAAAAAAGTTTTATTGAGGTATAATTGACATACATGAATGTCAATATTAAAGTGTATAATTTGATAGATTTTGACATATATGTTCACATAGGAAACTATCACCACAATCAAGATAATGAACATATCCACCCATCTCAAGAAGTTTCCTTGTTTCCCCTTGTAATCCTTTCCTTTTGCCCCTCTTTAACTGTACCTCCCCGCCCCCATCCAGGCCACCACTGATCTGCTTTGCGTCCCTGTTGATTTATTTGCATTTTATAGTTTTATATGATCACATAGTATATGATATTATAATAACATATAGTATTTGGCTTCTTTTACTTAGCATAGTTATTTTGAGATAATTGTGTGTATCAGTAGTTCATTGTTTTTTAATTGCTGAATATATTCCATGATTTGTTTATCCTGTTGATGGACATTCGGGTTGTTTTCATTTTTTTTTGACTGTTAGAAATAAAGCTGTTATGAACATTTGTGTACAAGTCTTTGCATGGACACGTGATTTCTTTTTTCTTGGGTAAATACCTAGGAGTAGAAAGACTGGATCATATGGTGGGTGTAGGTTTAGCTTTTAAAGAAACCGCCAAACTGTTTTTTAGAGTGGTTGTGTAATTTCACATTTCTTTCAGCAGTTTATGAGAATTCCATTTGCTCCACATTTTTGCCAACACTTCCTCTTGTCTTTTTGATTATAGCCATCCTAACGGTACTATCTTATTGTGGTTTTGATTTGTATTTTCCTAATGACTGGTGTGCTTATTTGCCATTTATATAAGCATTCTTTGGTTGACTGTGTAGATCTTTTGCCCATGTTTTATTTATTTATTTATTTATTTGAGACAGAGAGAATGAGAGACAGAGAGCATGAGAGGGAGGAGGGTCAGAGGGAGAAGCAGACTCCCTGCCGAGCAGGGAGCCCGATGCGGGACTTGATCCCGGGACTCCAGGATCATGACCTGAGCCGAAGGCAGTCGCTTAACCAACTGAGCCACCCAGGCGCCCGCCCATGTTTTTTATTAGCTGGTTTTCTTTTTCTTTTTAAAATTTTGTATTGTGGTTATAGTAAGGCATTACTTTTAAAAAAAAAAATTTTTAAGATTTTATTTTTTTAACGATTTTATGTATTTATTTGTCAGAGAGAGAGAGGACAAGCAGGGGGAGTGGCAGACAGAGGGAGAAGCAGGCTCCCCACTGAGCAAGGAGCCAGGTGCAGGACTCGATCCCAGGACCCTGAGATCATGACCTGAGCTGAAAGCAGATGCTTAACTGACTGAGCCACCCAGGCGTCCCGACATTAGTTTCCATTACATCTTCTTGCTGGCTCTTGTTTGTACTTGTGGTGGCTGTTGATTACTACACATTGGTTTTTTACTGCACTATCTTAGTATAAATTCCCTTCTATGTATTTTTTTGCACCTTTATTCTTTTATTATTTTTTGAGCTGAAAACGCTGATTATTTATTTATGACATTTAATTTTTAAAATTCCAGTATAATTAACATACAGTGTTATCTTAGTTTCAGGTGTAGAATATAGTATACATTACTCAGTGCTCATCAGGATAAATGTACTCTCCGTCCCCTTCACGTCTTTCATCCATCCCCCCACCCACTTCACCTCTGGCAACCATTGTTCTCTGAATTTGAGAGTTTGTTTTTTAATTGATCTCTTTTTTTCTTTGTTCATTTGTTTCTTAAATTCCATATATGAGTGAAATCATAGGGTATTTATCTTTCTCTGACTGACTTATTTCACTTAGCATTATACCTTCTGGATCCATCCATGTTGTTGTAAATGGCAAGATTTCATTCTTTTTTTGGCTGAGTAAAAATCCGTCATCTCTCGATGAACACGAGTAGCATTCATATCTTGGTTATTCTAAATAATGCTGCAGTAAACATAGGGGTGTACCTATCTTTTGGAATTAGTATTTTTGTATTCTTTGGGTAAATACCCAGTAGTGGAATTACTGGATCATAGGGTAGTTCTATTTTTAATTTTTTTAAGAAACTCCATACCATGTTCCACAGCGCTGCGCCAGTTTGCATTCCCACCAACAGTGCACAAGGATTTCTTTTTCTCCATGTCCTCACCAACACTTGTTGTTTCTTATTTTTGATTCTGACAGGTGTGAGGTGACATCTCATTGTGGTTTTGATTTGTATTTCCCTGGTGATGAGTGATGTTGAGCATCTTTTCATGTGTCTGTTGGCCATCTGTGTGCTTTCTTTGGAAAAATGTCTGTTTTATTTTTCTTGACTACTGAGGTTCTTTAGATATTGTGGATACAAGTCTTTTATCAGATAGGTGTTTTGCAAATATTTAATCATTCTGTGGTTTTTCTTTTCATGCCCTTAACAGTGTCTTTCTTTTGAAGAACAGAACTTTAAAATTTTGGTAAAATCTTGTTTATCAATTTGTTGTTTTAAGGATCTTCCTTTTGGTGTTGTACCTAAGAAATTTGCATAACCCAAGGTTGCAAAGATTTTCTACTATGTTTTCTTCTAGCAGTTTTATAGTTTTAGATTTTATATTTAAGTCTGTGAATAATTTTGAATTAACTTTATATATTGTACAAGATAGGACTACGTTCTTTTTTTTTTTTTTTTTGCTTAGGTACGTCCAATTGTTCCAGCAACATTTATTGAAAAAACTATCCTTTTTTCATTGAATTGCTTTTGCACCTTTGTAAAAAATCAACTATTCATGTATGTCTGGGTCTGTTTTTGGACTTTCTATTCTGTTTCATTGATTTCTTTGTTAGTCTTGATGACAGTGTTACATAATCTTGGTTACTGTAGCTTTATAATAAGTTTTGAAATCAGTATTTCAAGGTGTATTTCCATATGGATTTTAGAATCATTTTGTCATTTTTTTTTTGCAAAAAATTCTGCTTGAATTTTGATTTGGATCATATTGAATCTATAGATCCCTTTGGAGAGAATCTGCCAACCCATAAAGAAGGTATATTTCTCCATTTATTCAGGTTATTGACTTGAGATCTTTTAAAAAATTTTTTGTTTTAATTGTGGTAAAACACACATAACGTAAAATTTACCATTGTAACCATTTTTAAGTGTAGTCCAGTAGTGTTAAGTATATTCACATTGTTGTCCAGCAAATCTCCAGAACTCTTTTCATCTTGCAGAACTGGGATTCTATATCCATTAAATAGGAACTCCTCATTCCCCTTTTTTCCCTGGCTCCTAGTGGGTACCATTCTATCTTCTGTTTCAGTGAATTTGACTGTTCTACATAGATTATATACATGGAATCATACAGTATTTGTCTTTTTGTGACTGGCTTATTTCACTTAGCATAATGCCTTCAAGCTTCATCTATGCTGTAGCATGTGTCAGAATTTCCTTCCTTGTTAAGACTGAATAATATTCCGTTGTATATATGCCACACTTTCCTTATCCATCTATTGGTTGATAGATATTTAGTTTTTTTCCTACCTCTTGGCCATTTTTGAGTAATGCTGCTATGAACATGGGCAAGTATCTCTTTGAGATCCCGCTATCTATTCTGGATACATATCCAGAATTGGAATTGCTGGGTCAATTCTATTTTTAATTTTTTGAGGAATCACCGTGCTGTTTTCCACAGCAGCTGTACCATTTCACATTCCCACCAACACTGCTCAAGAGTTCCAGTTTTTCCACATCTTTGCCAATACTTTTTATTTTTATTTTATTTATTTATTTATTTGATAGTAGCCATCCTAATGGATACCGGGTGATACACATTGTAGTTTTGATTTGCATTTCTCTAGTGAATAATAATGTTGAACTTTGTAAAATATACTTATTAACCATTTGTATACCATCATTGGAGAAATGTCTCTTTAAGTCCTTTGGCTGTTTTTTATTTTTATTTTTTATTTTATTTAATTTATTTTTTCTTTTCCTATTTTTTTTAATTGGGTCTTCTTTTTTCATATAGGCCTTTACAGCTGTAAATTTCCCTTCTTCATAGTTCTGGAGGCTAGAAGTCCAAAATCAAGGTGTCAGCAGGATTGGTTTCTTCCCAGGGCTGTGATGGAAACATCTGTTCCAGGTCTCTCTCTTTGGCTTGTAGATGGCTGTCTTCCCCCTGTGTTTCTTCTATCATCTTCCTCTACGCATGCCTATGTCCAAATTTTTCCTTTTTATAATGACACTAGTCATTATAGTATTGGAATAGGGGCCACCCTAATGACTACATTTTAACTTGATTACTTCTATAGAGACCCTATCTCTGAATAAGGTCATATTCTGAGGTTCTGGGGGTTAGGACTTCAATATAGAATTTTGGGGGTACACAATTCAACCCATAATTGATGCCTTTTATTTATTTTTCTTTTGTTTATATTGGCTAGAACCACTAGTACAATGTTGACTGGAAGTGTCTTGTTCCTTGTCTTGTTCCTGATCTTGGGAAAGCACTCAGTTTTTCATCATTATGTCAGCTGTAGGTTTTTTTGTTAGGTAGTCATTATCAGGTAGAGGAAATTCTCTTCTATCCTTGCTTGTTGGCATTATTTATTAGGAATGATTATTAGATTTTATCAAATGCTTCTCCTGCATCTTTGAGATGATCATATGGTTTTTCTCTTTTAGTTTACATTATTTAGGTATTATTTATTCTCTTTTATGATATGACCACCTGTTTGAGACAGTTTTTATTTATTTATTTATTTATTTATTTTTTTAAAAGATTTTATTTATTTATTCATGAGAGACAGAGAGAGAGACAGAGGCAGAGGGAGAAGCA